AAAACCTAAACCTCACCACCAAGCAATATACCCATGTAAAAACCTGCACACTTATCCCTGAATTAGAAAAAATTAAACAACAAAAAACATAAAATGGACTCAAAATAAATCACAAATTTCGATGTAAAATCCAAAACCATAAAACTTTAAAAAAAAAAAAAAGAGAAAATCTCTCAGATGTAGGATTGGAGTTTTTAGCACCAAAAACATGATTCATAAAATATAAAACTAATACATTGACTTCATAAAAATGGAAAACTTTTATTTTGCAAAAGACCCTGTTGAGAGTATGAAAAGACAAGTTACAAGTAATACATGATAAACATTTACAAACTATATGTTTGACTAAGTACTAGCAGCTAGAATATGTAAAGAACTTTTGAACTGAACAACAAGATCAATACAACTTAGGACCTGGGAAAAATACATGAAAAGATATTTCACAGAAAAAGATATACAGATGACAAATAAGCACATGAAAAGATGTTCAACATCATTAGGCAAATGCATTAATTAGGCATTAGGGAAATGCAAACTAAAACCACAATGAGCTATCACATCTACCGGAATGACTGAAATAAATGTTAACAACACAAAATGCTGGTGAGATTGCAGAGAAACTGAATCCCTCATACAAGTGAGATGGTACAGACATTCTGGAAAACAGTTGATGCAGTTGCTTAAAAAATTAAATATGCAGCTACCAAACAACTTAGTAATTGTACTTGTTCACATAAAACCTTGTACATGAATGCTTACGATTGCTTTATTTGTAATAGTCCCAAACTGGAAGCATCGTGGTAGTCCAACAGTTAGTCAAACAATCTGTAGTATATCCATACATGGAATAACTTTTAGCAAGAAAATGGAAAGAACTATCCAACAATCTGTTTGAATAGCTCTAGAATTATGCTGTGTGAAAAAAAGCCAATCTCAAACTGTTAAATATTGTATGAATCCTTTTTATATAATAGTCTTGAGATGACAGAATTGTAGAAATGAAGAACAGATTGGTGTTCACCATGTATTAAGGAGGGGTTTGGGGTGGGATGAAAGTAAGTGTAACTTGGTGCGATGGTATTCAACTGCATCCAAGTTGTTGTGAAGGCCATGATTTTGTTTTTTACAGCTGCATAAAAATACACCTGCACACGTATGTTTATTGCTGCACTAGTCACAATAGCAAAAACATGGAAACTACCCTGCTGTTCATTGAAAGTGGACTGGATAAAAGAGATCCTTGTGGTGATGGAAATGTGTTGTACCTTGACTGTATCCATATCATATCTTGGTGGTGATATTTTTCTACAGTTTTAGAGAATATTACCTTTGGGAGAAACTGGGCAAAGAGAACGTGGATCTCTTATATGTCTTACAAGTGTACACCAATCTATATTATTTAAAAAGAAATATTTCATTGGACATTCAATTTGAGAAAGAAAGAACAAGTTTTAAAAGGCATTTTATCTTTAAAAGGAAGAACAATGGGTTTTGGAGATTGGTCAAACATCTGATCACTTTCTCTATAGCCATGGAGACCAGCTATCAATCAAAGATGTGCAGTTCATGTACTACTTTTTAAAAATCCAGTCCACTTTCAATGAACAGCAGGGTTTGCTCCATGTTTTTGCTATTATGAATAGTGTGGCAATAAACATATGTGGGCAGAAATATTTTTATGCAGCTATAAAGAACAAAATCATAGCCTTTGCAGCAACTTGGATGCAGTTGGAGACCATTGTACTAAGTGAAATATCACAGAAACAAAGAGTGGAATGCTGCAAGTTCTCACTCATAAGTGGGTCCTGAACATTAGTCACATTAGCACAAGGGTGGGATCAGCAGTAGTTGGACACTACTAGGGGAGGGAGGGAGGAAGGTGAACGGGAGGCTCGTGACAACACAAAGGGTACTTGGTCTACTACCAAAGGCAGTGAGGCCACCTAGAAGCCCACACTTCACCTGCATGCAAAGATTGATGTAGTAAATTCTCACTTGTACCCCTTAACTCTATAATAAATAAATTATTTTAAAAAGATGAACAGTTTCTTTAAAATTAAAAACTCCCAACTTCCTGATGGATCTGGATTCATAATAGCCACACTCCATTCTGAGGGAACATCTCAGATTTTACCTCTCAAAACTTTGTACTAATTAAAGAGGTCATAGAAATCCAGTAGGCTGGGTAGATTTTGTTATAAATTTGCAAGGATTCCAACATTTTGAGCTGAACTGAAAGGAGATAATAAAACATCATGCAAATACCATGGATATCTCTCTGAGCAATTTACATAATATCAGTTTTCTAAGTCTTCTAAATTTCTGTAATTTCATAAAGTCCTTAATATCTCAGAAAATGTTTTATACCTGTTTATCTCAGTGGGAATCATTATACATTCCCCTCTGATTCTTTTTCCATTTTTCCACATTTTCCACATGAGTAAACTCTGAACATGACAAACTCCTCTATTCTCCTGTGAATCAATTTGACATTGATAGGACTTCCAATGGTGGCATTTCTAAGGGCTCTCTCACACTTCTTAACCTGTCAGTTTTCTCATAGAAGTTGGGTTTAGACACTCCTTTTATTTTTTGAAGCACACATAGGGTGGGGAGAGCAAAAAATCCAGGAATTTATTTATTAAAAATTGTGTATTTATTCTTGCATGGTTAAACATTAGTCGCCTTCCAAGTACTCTTTGTTTCATGCATTATACCTATCAAGACACTTTTTCCACTGGTCAAAACAGTTTTTGAACTTGTCAGTTTTGATGCCTTTTATGAAGAGGAACCCCCCAACAGAGAAATTTGTTTATAAAAAATTGTGTATTTATTCTTACACGCTTAAACTTTAACCACCTTCAAAGTACTCTTTGATGCAGTGTGCACATCAAAACACTTCTTTCACTGCTCAGAACAGTTTTTGAACTTGTCAGTTTTGATGCCTTTTAGTGCTTCTGACATGTTTCTGTTTTGCTTCTTTGACATTGGCAAGACATTTCCCTTCGAGGACTTTTTTTCATCAGGGAAACAGCAACAACAAAAAGGTGCCTGGAGCAAGATCGCGTGAATAGGGAGGGTAGGGCATGGGGGTCATGTCATTTTTGGTCAAAACTGTTGAACACTCTGCACAGTGTGGGCAGGTGTGTTGTCATGGTGCTTCCACACATCAGGACATTTCTTTCTCATATCATGACATGACCTTCTCAAAACTTCCAGATGAAAACTTTAGTTGACTGTTTGATCTGGAGGAACAAATTCCAAGTGTGCTACAAGGGTACCCCCGCTTCAAAAGATAATTCTGGGGTTTTTTGAGGTCACCCCTCCTATAGAGAATCACAGCCCCTCCTACAGGAGTTCTTAAAGTGGGCCGAATATTGGAGTCACTCTGGGAGTGGTAACAACTACTAATGCCTGGCTCTTGCTTAGAAAAATTCTGACTTTGTTGGTCTGAGGTATGGCTTGGGTATCAGAATTTTGTAAAGCTCCTCAGGTAATTCTAATGGGCAATGAAACTTGAAACCCATTTTCTTAAACCAATTTTCTCTTTCTCCCTCCCTGTCTACCTCTCCTTCTTCCCCTCCCTCTCCCTCTCTCTAGCTGTCTCTCTCACTGGTTTTGATGAAAGCTGCTATGAGGCAGAGAACCATGTGGCAAAAAATTGATGGCAGTCTCCATTCAACAGCGACAAGTAACTGAGGCTCTCGCTCCAGTGGCCCTTGGGAACAAGAGAGGGAAACCTGTGACACCATTCTCATTTTACAGCTTTTTCTGGGGTCCGATGAGGATAAAAGTAAACCGAAATAGCATTTTGGCTAGCTTCTCCTTTCATCCTATCCTGCTTCCCACAGGAGAAACTTCTTCTGACAGCACTTCCTTGTACAAACACCCCTGTTTCAGGTTCTGCTCTTAATGAATCCAACTTAATACACCCCTTAAATGCTGGGTCCTTTAGGATAAGAGTCATTAACGTGGCACTTGTGTCTTAGCCCCAAGATATAATAATGTGGAAGAAAAAAAAAATTAAAGGCAATTAGTCTAAAAACAACCGTGCAAAAATTGAAAGGAAGAAACTGCAAAATGTTCAGAAGGTATGCCTGTTCAGTTGACAGCAAACTGAAGAGTTGACCTTCACACCATGGTAACCATTCAACATCATATGAAAAATGTTTTGAAAGGCATTCACACTGAGATTAGGAACACTGGGGTTTTAGGCTGGATGTTTTCTGGGGAAGACCCAGAAGCAGGAGTTTGAAAGCAAGTAATGTCTTTGGGGAACTTGGGAAATGATTGAAGGAAGACAAGTCATTGTAAGATGAGTTAATGAGCAAAATACCTCTACAGGCAGCTGGGGTTCAGTCCCGCTGAGGACCTGGAAGGCATCCCCCCGCCCCCACCCACTAGAGGGGAGGTAAACTAGGGCATGTATTTAACAGCTTCCACTCATGAGTAGGGTGGCGCTGCTGGAGGCTTTAACTCTCCAGCTCAGAGCTTCCTCTAAAATCCTCTTTAGAGGCTTTAGAGTCCAGGTGCTTCCTCTAAAAATCATCTTCCTATGCTAGAATAAGGAGTCTTGAGGGAATGGAGGTGGAGCCCTGAAACCATCTGCTTGGTCTTCGCCCTCTGTAGAGAACAGCAGAAAAATGGACAAGTAAGGAGAAGGATTCAAGGAGAATAAGGAGACATGATGACTGTATATGTTTTGCCTGGAAAATTAAGATTTGTTTAAGAAGGAGGAGTATCTCCATATGAGATTGTAGCAGAGACAGATAGTGCAATTGGGACGATGCGGTAGTTGACAGTTTTCAGAGAACATTCAAACTTGTGTTCGTTTGGTGGAGAGAGAGTAACATGATTGGGGTATGATATATTTGGTGCAGACCTTAAACTAAGAATTAATTGGCCTGAGGTTTTCTGATTAGTTTCATGTGATTCAGCTCATAGATGGAATACAGCAAGAATGCTGCCTGATGGGGACCAGGTGGAAGCATGTCAGAGCCTCAGCAACAAGAACTGCTAGAGCAGGTTGGGCAGCAGCAGGAGGTCTGGCAGTAGCTGGGGCAACAGCAGCTTGAGATGCAACAGCTGGGGCGGCAGCAGGTGGGCTGGCAGCAGGTGGACTGGCAGCACTGGGGCCTGCAGCAGCTGGAGATGCAGCAACTGGGGCGGCAGCAGCTAGAAATGCAGCAGGAAGGGCGGCAGCCGGTGGGCTGGCAGCACACAGATTGGCAGCACTGGGGCCTGCAGCAGCTGGAGGTGCAGCAACTGGGGCGGCAGCAGCTAGAACTGCAGCAGGTGGGCTGGCAGCAGGTGGACTGGCAGCAGCTGGGGTGGCAGCAACTGGGAACGCAGCAGGAAGGGTGGCAGCAGGTGGGGCGGCAGCAGGTGGACTGGCAGCACTGGGGCCTGCAGCAGCTGAACACACAGCAGCTGGGGCGGCAGCAGGTGGTCCTGCAGCAGGTGGTCTGGCAGCAGCTGGGGTGGCAGCAGGTCACCTGGCCACAGCCCTGGTAAGAGCAGACGGAGCCGCAACAGGAGTTGCACATAGTATCAGAGAGTGGACGTTTGGCCTAGTGTCCAGGAGAATGAGTTTCATGAGCTTGAGTGTCTCTTGACACATGTCCCTTTTATACTCAGCTGAGGAGCCTTTATGTTTATGGCAAGACAATTTCCTTATTTTCATTTATATGACACAAATGGAATTAACAAATTATATCGTTGTGTTTTTCTAACAAAAGTTCCCAACATACAGAAAATAATTATTTCCTTTTTCTCAGGTATCCTGGTGTTCCCACGAGTCAACTCTTTTTTGGTTTCCTTGGTTTCAGTGTTTCATGACTTCAGTACCTGGGTATCATGTGACATGGAAGGGCCACTCTCTTGTCTGTCTCTCACCTTGATATGATTTGGGGAGGGCTGATGGGGCTGAGATCCCTAGTGGAGAAGTGTATATATCAGACAGATGGAATGCTGAGAGGAGAAAAGAAAGTAAGCTTCCTTTATGAGTGTGAAAAATGAGGAAGTTCATGATTCATCTCGTGTATTCTGGGTGGTCACTGAAATAATGGTGGCTCAGCCTGTAATTCTGCGCTTTGGGAGGCTGAGGTGAGTGGATTGCCTGAGCC